ATGGGTAAACGGTGGAGGGTACGGAGGAAGGTGAGGGGGAGGTGGGGTTGGGATAAGGAGATGGAGATGGGAAGGGGGAATGGAATGAGAGAGGGGAGGGAGGAGGGAAAAGGGGAATGGGGAACGAGGGAGAAGAAGGGGAGATGGAATGGCGGAGGGAAGGGGTGGGGGGATCAAGAGTATCACTGTTATCATTTTTGTTATTTTGTTATCACCATTTTTATTTCTATTATTATTATCTTTATCGCAATTGTAATAATTCTGCTATCATTATCGTCATTGTCATCAACTTCATCATTATAATCATCATTATTTCGTTTTTTATCATTCTTATCATCATCAATATCATTACCATCCCCACCATCATTATTATCTATTACTACTTCTTCTGTCGTTATTTATCGCTGTCACAAGCTTCTTCCTTAGCACCGGCAGGTTGTCTTCAGTACATCAAAGGCAAGACGGGGGAGATACAGAGCTTTAATTACGAAGATAAGCCAACAGATGCTAAACAACCTAATGGAAATACAGGTAAGACAGTGATCCTTGTTGCGGATTCATGTACTCATGTATTCACGTGTCCATCTTTCGGTATGGGGTTATGTATCCATGTTTTTTTTTAATGGATTCTTTGGTTTGGGTTTAGAAAAAAATGGAAAAACGTTGGATTTGTGGATTTATGAATTTTAAGTCTGTCTTATGGTTTGCAAATTTGATATTGAAAGTGATGGTTATCATACTCTCCTTAACAGCTGATATATATCGGTACTCTCTAGTAGCCCGAGTAACACTAAGTAACTATTTAGAATTAAAACCATACCAAAAATACAAACCACATTAAAGATAGATGAAGACTCTAGATAATAAAATTCTAAAATTCTATTCATCCCCCTCCCCCCAAAAAGTGATAAAACCATGATAAAATAATACTAATAACGGAAAAGAATAGCAAGAAAAAATATCCTGTCGCTTTACTTACTCGCCGACTCAGTAGGCATAAAACTTTAGGAACTTGGAACGACCGACGTCTCCCTCCCACAGGAACTCGCCACCTGCAGGAGGACTACAGCATCTGCGTCCGCCAAGAACCGGGCTACTGCAGCATCAAATGGACAGCCGCGGAGGGCGAGACTCACGCCTTCACTCTCACTGGGGACTTGGTCGGCGTCCCGGGCATCCTTCCGCCCATCTTCGGTAGGGTTTCAGTCTGTAGGGCGTCGTGGAGTTTACTATTTTTTAAGATTCGCTTCGGTGTGTTTTGATGCATGTTGTGGGTTATTCCATTACTAGGAGGTTTCTAGTTTAGCATATTAAGTTATTGATATTACTGTGACTAACTGTCGACCATGGTGGCCATTGCTGCATTAATATTGCATAATTCCAATAATGAAGTTTTAACCGACGCTGTCAAATAATGGCTATGAGAGAATAACTGCGTAGGTCCATATTTATGATGGTAATGGTTATCATTCTTTATGATAATGATTATGACAATGATTATTCTTCTCCCTTATCTTGTGTCTCTTTAACCCCGTTTGCCTTCTTCCTCATGAAGGATCTGGAAAGGTCTAAATAAATACTTATCTAGACCGTGGAATCTGCCAATAAGAGAGCGTGCCCGTGTCACATATGAATATACGATTATGAATTTCTTGTTTTTCTATTTCTCTTTTATTCCCATTGCCCCCTTCCTTCTCCAGGATCTGCCATCAACAACCTGTGCCCCTTCACGGACCACCTGGTGATCGCTGGCGGCACGGCGGTCGCGGGCGGCGCCGAAACCCCCGCCAGCATTTTCTGCGGATCTGAGTTCCCGGATGAAGTCGTCAGTAAGTCTCCGCTACTGATCATAGAATCACACTTCATTCTCAGAAGCTCTCTCTAGTAAAAACTTTCATAGGAGCACATTATAAGCCCGTAGTTTCCCTTCTTACTCTCTCACCACCAATAGGACAATTTATTCTAAGTCATTTCTATTATAAGTATTCTTTGACGACGCATGCGGTTCAACTCCATTTCCCAGCACCTCAAGACAATAGTTATTTTGATTGTAAATATACACCGACTACTTACGAAATTCCTTTCTTCCTCTCCCGCACCTTAAAGACGGAAGTTCTGCACAAGACATCATTACCATAAATGCATACGGTCCCCTCTTCCTCCCCCACCCCTTCTATGCAGCATTTTTTTTCATATATTTTTTCTTGTGGATAGACACTCACGACTTCCTTGTCTCCCACCTCTTTGAGATCGAAGATTTTCATAAATCGCGCACTTACCACTTCTGAAATTCATTTCTTCCTCTTTTGCTGCAAATGCAATACCTCTTCTCCAGTCACTTCATTTTTCAGGTCTCAGAAATAATTTTTATTACAAATTCACGCTCATATATTCCGAGCGTCCTTTCTTCAGATTCTATTCTTTTTACGACATATACATACCCATAAATTCCTAACTTCTTTGCCTTTACTCCCTTCTTCCAGGCGATAGTTTCAGGGTG